TTACTGATTGAAAAAAATGTATTTCGGTTTCTCGAGCTTAAATCTTTGTCGGTGCGATTCTGAATTTAATCAATACCTAACTCTTGAAGTATAAATTAATCTTCGAGATGAAAAATTGTTAATGAGAAACAGATGAAGATAAACTAATAGAAAAACTGGCGTAAAAATTCTGTCGCAGACGCGTTTGTAAAAAAACGTCAGTCATGAACGTTGCCGAAAATTCCAATGTGTAATAAGGCGATTCGCATATAGGCATTTGTCCTGAACAGTATAATTGCGATGATGATAAATTACTATTAGACCGGGCGCTGGATGGATTTTGAGCATGCCAAATCCGAGGACCACATTCTTCCAATTGATGCAAGTTCAGAAAAGCTTGTAGATTAATAATTCGGATGTTGCGGGAAGTCCTATTGGTCCAATTTTTTGGTATACCCCCCTCCTCCTGCACCGCGAGTAAGTAAATTGAGTGAATGTTATATATGTATTTTGATGATTATTGACATTTATTAGTTTTTTTAAATAACTAAATATAATTAAAGGTTGGCAAATGAAATTAAAACAGTAATTATTAATAAAAAATTCATAAATTGCTCATAAAAAATTATTTAGTGAACAAAAGTAAATTAACATATACATACTTGAAAGAAATGCAAATAATAATCGATATTTTGGCAATCCCTATTTATACACATGCATATAGGCGTTTTACCACATTTTTGGAAAAAAATACGCTAGTATATTCGTTATGGCTGGCAGGCTGGCTGTCCGGCTGAGATCTCAGCAATTACAATAGCTAGAGACTTCAAATTTTCACTAAAAGATTTCTGATGTAGTGTAGATGTGCAGGCTCTAGTCTATTTTGAGTTAGATAATTCGCGAGATCGATAATTTTAAACTTTGCTAATGAAATACTGATCTGCATTACCAAAAATGCGCTTTCATCATGCATATGCTGATTTACAACTTGTTTGCAATTACAAGCCATGGTTCGACAATGCTATGCTATGCACATTTGAATCAAAGACTGTCATTTTTCGTCGATACAGGTTACCATCTCTCTTTTCATGCCGAATAAATTTTAATTAATTGCTGGAAGTTGTGTTTTATTAGATGCTCCATAGATATGTTGCCAGCGAACATAAATATGCAACAGTAGCGTAATTGTAACATAAATTTCGTGCGGGGATGTCGCTTGTTGGGTATAGTTCCTATCGAGATCGAAAATATGACAAATTCGATACACGTACCGGTGGATTCTGAAACGGAGTGTTGACACCGAACCACCCTTATTGGGGAGAATTGGCAACGTAAGACGGAACGTCATTATCGAAGAAGATTTAATACCAGGGAAACAATGAAGAAGAATTAGTAAATGAATTTGGGAGTAGATGGGTGAGAGAGTATCTCCAACTCTAACGCGCAGGATAATGTGGTTCACAAATAAAGAAGTATGAAACCTTGACGGACAGAAAAATGGAACTAACGGCCTATTTAAATTGTCGGGGAGATAAGGCCGTTCCGTAGCTACTTATCGTGAGAGTGTGCGTTATCTGCACTCTCACGTGCTGCAACTGAGGACCACAGAATAAGACCTTCACAGAACAGAAACATGAATGGCGCTAAATTGTCACTGATTACAGCGTTTCCCGTGGTTGTACGGAGAACTATTTATCGCAGACTCAAATATTTTTTTGCAAAACCTGTAATTTTGCTCGTTACAGGAAATATTTTTACCGTCGATTTTATACGTACACATGGTTTTACACATGTAAATTTTGACTTTTGAAAGATTTAAAATATGAACAAGTTATGTGACCGTAAAAAGTGTTGTGTGACGGATTGTAACGATAAAATATCAAAAAGGCATCGTTCCCCATATTTTGCAACAGATTGTTTTGTGCTTGAAACGCGAAGAGGGTTGAAATGTGCTGTTATTTCTCTCCTATTTATGCAAGGTATGGAATTTATAAATTGCCAGCGCAAAAGGGTGTAGACTTGAGTTTTATATTTAAGTAGGTATATAGACGTAGATACTTATATTGTAATCGAATGATTCGAAGTTCCTTCAAAACTAATTTGCTGGTTTTATTACTTGGACAAGTATTATTTTTAAAAAAATATTTAGCAAACAGCAACGGGCCAAATTTTCGCCGGCAAACGGTAGTAAGGATCTTTCTGCAAAGTGTTAACATCTACAAAGCGTAAGTTCCACTCACTTCTGAGTTTTATATGTAATTTGTAAACATGTAATTTAAATTCTCTGTGTTAAATAATGTAATGTGATTGTATCTAAATACACATACAATTTAAAAACTGTGTATTCTTTATCGATATTTATGATTTAGATCGAATTGGAGAAATGACTTCATGGCTTTAGAAGCTGGTCACCAGGTGGCGCTACTCTGATTTTGATGCTTTAGTTCACAGTACACCCACCAGGGTCCGCCAAAATACCATACAAATTTGTAACATTGCTGTTTCTATTCTGAGAAGGCCGTATTCTGTGCTGAGGACTTTCATTAATTTTCAAACATAAAACCATTAAAAAAAAGGTAGGATGTCACTGTTATAGGTAATTATGTCATCGAATGACGAAGTTATCTTCAAAACTAATTTTGTATGCATCTTTTATTAGCGTTTTCGAATACTCCTCGGACGGATAGACAGACAGTATACTATTTTTAATGTTTAAGGCAGGACCGGCGGAAGCGGGCCTTTAGGGCCTGATGCAAAGCCGGCGAGAAAATGATGGCGATCACAAATTTAACAACAATTATTTTAGACATTACTCTTATTACATTACACGTTGACAAAGATGTTAAACGATTACATATAATTCGATCCCCAGTTTCGGACCAAGTTAAAAAAAATATTCTGATGCAATGCCAACCGATATATATAAATTTTATTAAAAACGGTCTTTACATTTGGCCTACCACCTTAAACCCTAAACTGGGCTTGGACTTCTCCCATCTTCACCACCCTACATTGTGTTACCAGTACCTAGTGCTGAGAGGGATATTTAATTGCTCCAGATATAATAAAATTTGTGGTTCATCATTGGGATCTTTGTAAGGGTGCTAGATACAGTCTAGTTTAAATGGGAACAAAATTGCGACTAAAAAAACGCATTTGAAATTTTGAAAAATCTTTGAAAATACCTGAGATACCACCAAAAAACTGAAATGTCAAATTTCGTTTTCACTTTATCTATTTCGAACGGTCGGAAATGGGCGGTTTCTGATGCTAGCACCTCCTATGGGCATTTTTTTTTCGGAGAATCTGAGCCTTTTATCAGCATTTCCATAGCAACACGTTAGCGATGTAGAGCTACAGAGTACAGACTACTCATATTTCTTATGGATGCCAAATTGGATTTTTAATAAACTTTAAACTAAACTGCAGATGTTTAATTGCAAGTATTTCAATCTCTGTATGCAAATAATATCCATTTAAAAATTGGATTCTTCGGAATGCGGTTGCGGATATGGAGCTTTCGTTATAGCGTGGAAGTGCTTTTGGGGCATTGTACGGATGTACCTACTACGTTGGTGGTAAGTATTAAGTAACAAATTCATCAGGAAAATAAAATAAAAATCAATCTAAACAACTTTAGTGTTGATCACTTGAAAGACCATTAAAATTCATTATTTTAGAAAAAATATTTTATCGGGGAGTCGATGGTGTCCGTCTGTCCGTGAACACGATAACTGCCAAACTGACAAAATATTAAAATAGTTTTTGTAATTGACATATTGTGCCCATACATAATTGTACCTATTTGTAATAAAAAGTGCTACTCAATACAGTATAATTATGTACCTACTCTTTTTCCGGTCCAAATACCTAAAAATATGAATGTGATGATGGTTTCTCAAAGAGAAAAGTGAAAATCTGTTAGCACCATCTTGTAGAATGAGCGCTTAAAAAGTTAATTTCGGTTTTTTTCGAATATCTTCGGAACTGATCGCAGTTTGTGTATTTTTAAAACATCGTTTTACTAAGCCCTAAACTCTTTCTCATTTAACCGACTGTGTAGGTATCTCTTATGGTTTCCGATTTTCCCATTATGTTCATTCTTATCTTATCTTGGAACTGTATTTTGTAATCTCCCCGATCTCTGCGTTTTCTTGGTAGGTATTTAATACCCCCAACTCCCAGGTGAGGGAAGGAGGGCGTAAAGTCCCACCAAGGCCGCGGCCATATCTAGATAGGTACGGCCCTGTCTAAGTTTTCCTAATCTGTAATTGGTTGCAATAAAATGTTTACTATGGGAAAAAGCATTGGAGACTTAATTTACGAACAACCCTTGGAAAAAGCAGAGTGAAAATGCCGTTCCCGCGCTCGCCCCACTACACCACTGTGCGTTAGACAATGATCCTTTAAATCGTTGTTGGTTGTGCAACTGCTTTACAAAAAGACTTTGGAAATATGCGCGTTGGACGAGGATTTCTTAAATTATGCTTATAGGTATTGTTGGTTACATAATTGCACTGGTCACATTTAAAATTTTCGATTCGAAAGTACGGTGATAAAATGGGACGCTTTAAAGTATCTTTGCTCTTTAAGGTGTAGTGACTACCTACTTAATTGCGAGTGCAATGGTTATTTGTACAACTAGTTTTGAAAGTGATACTTTTTTTCATGAATTTGCAGCAAATTCACGAAAAAAAAGACAAAAATATTAATTACATTAATTTTAGTAAAGGGTAGTCTTGACTTAATTTTTTAGACAACCCATTTGCAATGTGTTTGTTTACACATTAAGATTGTTACAAAAATGTATTTCACTTGGTAAACAGATGAGCGGGGGTTGACCTTACGTGGGATCATTGTATGTACAATTGTGAGATCTTGTACTATTACAAGTTATCGTGATCATTTTAACAGAAGAATAATTTTCATGCACATACAGCAATTTTCCTTAGGCTGTGCCCCTAGGATGCTCAGGGACCCCGGGGCATTAACCACCCCTATCCTGTTTATATTGTGCAATAGAAAAACGAACTTAAATTTATTCCAATTTAAAAAACAACACAAAATAGATTCTTAATAGGTTACAACAACGTATTAATCAAAATCTTCATAACCTAAACTCAAATCGCCCATCTCCTCGCTAGTAATTAGCTCCATCACAGCTCTAAAAAAAAATGCACAGAAAATAAGTTGTACAATTGTCATGGGCGACTTACCGTAATACTGATATTTCGTTATTTTCCCAGGACCATTTAATGACGCCGGGATTCGATATCTTGTACTCCAGAAACATATTTAATCGATCGCGTAACTGCTTTATGGTCGTGTTTGTTTCCTCTGAACATTTAAATTTTAACTTTTCGCCAGCGAGGTTGAGTGTGGTGTTTTCCTGATCGTAACTGTATTTATCGCCGAAGAATATGATCGGTAAGGGGTACACTATCGTCGCGTCGTGTATAAATCGCTTTGAAGACTGCAATTTTAAGTAGTAGACGAAAAGACGCGATGGAAAATAGATTTCCTTCGCTAAAACCGATTTTAGGTGCCAGTCTACTTTTTGGCCTTCCAGCGTGCGACCAATGAAACGTTTCTTTCCCCTAGAAAAGAAGATACTGATATTATCAACAAAAACACGTTTCGACAGCCGAGCTACCGTCGTCAGTAAATCAATAAAGAAAAAGTACAAATCAGAATAAGACCTGAGCGTTCTTTTTCTTAGTTGGTTTAAAATAACGAAATAAATACCTGAGCGTGCCCACATTTGGATATAACCCTGCGCAAAGAACCGCCTTGATAAGGCTGACATTTCTCGAGTTGTAATTAAAATCAGGATCTTTATAATTCGTCGAATCAACAAAGTTCATGTCCAGTAAGTACTCCATGAATTGCTTTTTCATCTTTTGAAGTTGCATCAAAATTGAAGGGCTCAAGAAATACTTCCAACAAAACTGATTTGCGTCGTAGTGGCTTTGGCTTTCGAACATTTTCAACGCATTATACAGAAGCAAGTGATCGCTGTACAACCCATTGGATAGCTCCCTTCGTTTCTGCTCCACCTCTCTCTCTTTGCCTAGTGGAAGCAGGAAAGCGTCCTTAAAATCTAGAGAAGCGGCCACTGATAGTACCGGATCCAGACAACTGAACAGCACTCCGAAGATGACCATTTTACCCATTTGCGGTGCGATGGGTAAATATGCGAGGTGGTATCCCAAAGGGGTCAAATTCTCGTTTTCGTCCAGGGCATTCATTCTTTGCAAAAGATCTATGGAGACGGCGATAGCATCCGGGTTGGGAGAGTCAATTAGCTTACTTAAAAATTCCGCCGCTGTACCGATTTGCAAGACTTTTATTGTTAAGATCGTGTTCTCTAAGCGAGTCCGCAAGATTTCCGCCTTCTGGTACTTCTCCAAGACAAACCTGCGCGGGCGCGAAAACAAATGGTAACAAACCCCTGGCTGAACTCTTCCAGCTCTTCCTCTGCGCTGATCGGCGTTTGCCAACGCAACCCAATGCGCTTGCAGAGTGTAGTTGTTCGTTTGAGGGTCGTAGTCGGTATACTTGATTTTACCGCAGTCAATAACGAAGACGACATCGTCAATTGTAATGGAGGTTTCCGCGATGTTGGTCGAGAGTACAATCTTTCGAACTCCGGGAGGAGGCCTGTCAAACACTTGCCTTTGATTTACAGTCGGCATCTGCGAGTGAATCGGAACTATTAAAAATTTGTTACTAGGAAACTTTCCACAAGTTTCCATACGTTGGTTCAGCGACGAAATCTCTACGAAACCCGTTAAAAATACTAAAATGGCGCCTGGATCCCGTTCAGTTTCGCAAATGTTGACAATAAGCGCGAAGATCAAATCCATATTGACCCCGGCCTCCAGCTGTGGATCTCTCAAAATCGCGCACACTTTGGCTGAACATGTCTTATTCGCCTCCAACTGTCTCACATATGGCTCCATGAAGGAGGTGTAGAAATCATCTTTGTCTCTTTTGCGGTCACGCCACGTATATTTCTTAAATGGCTCAGAAGACATACAAAAGTTCGTTTTCATAAGAACGTCTTCCAAATAAAATTCTTGCACGGGGAATGTAAATCCCGGAATGTTTAAATGAGGACAATTGTTGAAATACGCCGAAAATTTTTCTGCGTTTAAAGTCGCGCTCATCAAAATTACTTTCAGATTTGGACGTTTTACCAAGACATCCTTCAGGAGGGTGATGAGGAAATCGGAATGGATGCTCCTTTCGTGAATCTCATCGATGATTATATGCGAAACTTTGTTTAGACACGGATCGCCTTCCATAAGACGAAGAATAACGCCGGTTGTACAAAACAAAATCGACCCCTTTTCTCTAGGCATCACTTTCTCAAGACGTATTTGATATCCTACTCCTACACCCAGAGACTCGGCGCGCTCAACCGCCACTCGCTCGGCTACGGAAATTGCACTAATCCTCCTGGGCTGCGTGCAGACGATCCGACAACACGACCCTTTGCCCTTCTCGACGTAATCGTCCAAAATAAACTGCGCCACCTGAGTAGTTTTACCGCAGCCAGTCTCCCCGCTAAGGAGGATCACATGGTTCGCCGCGATCATTTCGATGATTTCCGTTTTTAACTTGTAGCTGGGCAGTTTCTTCCTGAAATCCAACATATTCAGATACTTGGCGGAGGTTCTACGTTTTTCGAATTCCAATTTTAAGTCCGCGTCAAGCGTGGGAGAGGGCTGGATTTCCTCAGCCGCTTCTAATTTATCTTCAATCCGCCCGCTAATGAGATTCTCGTACTTCTCTTTAAAGCTCGCATTGAGGTTTTGTGTGTAGTTTTCGCGTTCAAGAACTTCGGAGATTTTCATTCTTCTACTTTCTGGCAGTACTACTTCGGCAACCTTAAAAGTAAAAAGCATTGTAAAAAAATTGAATACTTTTTATCCGCTCTTGTCAATAAATCCCGAGATAAATCCATGGATTTTATTCGTCGAATTATTTAGTACTTATCATCGTGCACTTCCGTTTTGAAATGCAACACCCCGTGTATTTTATTGGTATCGGACGAATAAAAAATACATGTAGCAAATCGCATTACCTTAGAAAACAATTGCGCTTATACTATGGCAAATTATTTGACAAGTCTTTAGTAACGTGTGTTAAATTTATCAAAACTGACTACAAATATGGTCATGAAATATTTTTTTTCACTACTAGCGTCTGATGACATGATTATTAACCTTTTTTCCACTTGTAAAGTAGGCTTTCTCGGCATTTGTTCAAAGTGGTTAATAATTTTTTATTATTAACTAGTAGTCAATAATGAGAACTGTCACGCTGTCACTTTTAGAAAACACAACCCGAAATTTCGCTCAATGAACGTTTAGACAAGTTCTCTAAAACGAATAATTGCCACCATTCGCAATTTCCAGAGAAATTACATACCTAAAATTATCACATTTTGAAAAAATTCGAACGAAATTACTCTTTGAAAAATCTCAATGACAGAACAAAATACGGCCTGTTTGACTTGTACTTCCACGTACTTGATTGACATGTTAAATTAAGAAACAAACAATTCTGTCCAACCGTTAACTCTCTTATCAATATAATATGTTAATTTAGAGGATTTCAAGTGCTAGTAGTGAAAAAAATAGTATATATACCACGGTAGAGAAGTCTATTATTGCCTTCGCACCTTACACCCCTCGGCGCAAGCGCCTCGAGATGTAATCTTGGTGCTCAGGCAATAATACTGTACTTCTCTACCTTGATATATAATGTACTATTACTGTATACTTACAGGGTGTTACATTTAAAAACAAAAAGTTAAGGGCATTTCCGCCTCAACAGGAAGTCGAAAGAAGATTAAATTAGTACATCAATTATTAAAAAAATTGCATCATTAATAAGGGAGATAATTGACCGTTCCGGGAATTTTTACCTACTTTATACATTGTATATTTTAAAGTTCAATAGTTAAGATTTAGATTTGGAGGTTAAATCGTCAGAATATGGCGAATAATTTGGGTAATCATAGTTTCTTAAGGCTATACATTGACATTCTACAGAAAAATGAATAGTTTGTTGCATATTAAATAGACCTAATACAAATAAACATATTTTGGAATTCGATTTTGAGCTTAAAAATATTTATTCAACACACCTGGAAGGTAAAAATAGTATATCTCTTTGATTCTGATTAGTGATTCAGTGGCGCCACCACCGGCCATTCTTTTCCCGAAATCAATATTGAATTGTTGCCATAGATTCATAATCTGATATACAACCACAGAATAAATATAATAAACAAAGAGAAATGGTGGCGAAATACGATGTAACAATTTTATTCTAGTACAAAATAATTAAAAGGTATTACCACTCGAGCTTGTTTTGCACGTGCAGCGTAATACAGTCCAATTGCCTTTCCTCGCAAATTTCCGGGATGTTTTCCGTACGGACGTGGTTGCTCTCCGTCTTCATTGTTGCCATCACTTTGACTTTGTGTTTGTTTGAACGTCTTTTTAAAACCGCCATCACCACCACCACGTCTAAATCTGCCGTATTTTCGCTTATATTTATTCGATTCAGACATTTTCTCTCATTAACAACTACGAACTAAACGAGGTTATGTTTTGTTTAATAACTTTGTTCACGAATGACATTTTAATGTTAGATGGCGCTTGAAGGAACATTCTTGGTGGTTGCATTCATACCATTTGAAAGTACAGTACCACTTAAAATCAATATACAGATTAAACTAAAAGCTTATAATTTAGATTCTGCAAATTGACATTGTTTACTTAAATAAATAAACAAATGTAGGAATATGTCAATATTACTTAAGTTGAAAAGTTTCGCCACCAGGTAGCGCCACTAGCACGGTTGCGTTTCCCAGAAATACGAGACCTCGCAAACCGCTGCAGACTACTTTTTTTTGTATTACAGAAGCTGAAGTTGTACAAACTTCAGTAACTAGAGGGAGTTGAGCGTTTTAATAACAATTTGTTCTGGTTTTCATCATTGAATTAATTAATCAAATTGTTTATATAGCTTTTTATCCACAAAATTTATTCCACTTACGTAAACAAGATGAACAAAATACCTAAGTGGATTTTTTTCAAAAAGTTTGGATTGAACATCCACTACCCCCTCTTGTCAACGTCCACAACAGAGAATCACCTATTTCATTTTAAAATAATTATTTGCGCAGGTACTTAGCCGGTGATTTGTTATTTTATGTATTTCTATCACGTATTCTCTCGAAAACTTATTGAATAAAAACTTCTCCAATATCCAATCTGAAAAGGTCGTGTGTGTTATACCCGTGGTAGTAGTTTGAAATTGGCTCGAAGGTGCTTCAATTCAAGTAAAGTTATTTATCGATTTTTCACAAGTAGTAAATTCAATGGGAGATTGCCATCATTTACAAGGAGCGCGTCTAAGGGGTAGACGAGAAGCGGAAATTCATATGCCTTATACTTTTATTTTCTGTAGTGTCCTGGTCGTCTTTCGCTTTTGCGTTTGACTTGCAAATTTTTACATTTGTAGTATATTAGCGAAACGTGATAGGCAGTATACATTTAGGAAGTGATATTATGGCCTTATCTTCTTTAACAAAGCAAGTAATTGAAACACAACGCTAAAACATTCAATACTAAAGACAACAAGAAAATTGCACCTATTGCTAGTAAGAGTTCGAGATAAGTAGTTCTCTAATTTCTTATTACTAATCCACCCTAGAATCCCCCCTCGAAACCCACATAATTCTAAAGTATGTCGCAGGTTGCACAAATTAAACGTTACCCATTTTTCTCCTCAAGATGAAAATCGAATTTTGGAGAGCGATTTGCATTTGAATATATTTTGGTAGAGGGTGTGCTACATTCTATTGTTTGAGGGGCTAGGACGTACAATTTTTCTTATCTTTGGAATAAACTTGCTTATTACATTTTCTAATAACTATTATTACTAATTATATCAGCTATCAGATAATGCTGAATATCATTACATAATAAATTGTTGTAATTTTATGTTTTTTTCCTTTTCTCTTAACTTATTAATCCTTAAACTAATTGTATGTAAAGAATATAGGTATATTATACTGACAATCGGTTCAGCCGTTTAGCCGGAAATGAGAGTACAGGTGGTCGATTTTTGAAACCAGTCGCATCTATTCGTGTACGCTTAGATGGGAAGACTTAAAAGCGTATACGTTTTCCAAATGCAATTTTTGACTACTGTTCGTAACTGCCTGGAACCAGAGACTCTCTGCCTGGAACCGAAACGTACAGTGCATATGACAACGTCGCCTTTGTTGCTTGATTAGAACTAAAGCGGACTATTTGACGTTTAGGTTTGAGCTTAGGTGGTGAGGTGAAGATATTGTTCAGTCATTTCAAATTAAAGAATAATAATATTTTAGGCGCTGATTAGCATGAATACGCAAAACACGATGGACACGCCAAAGCGAGGGTGCAATACCACGCAAAATCAAAAAAGGTGGCTTGTGGAGTTTGCCAAAAAACACCCCAAAATAATAGCAGGGAAACAAACTGCGACTTTTACGTGCAAGAAAATGCAAGACGCATGGAAAGAAGTAGCTGATACCCTTAATAGCATGCCATGTGCTTCAAAAAACTAGAAGCAATGGCGCAAGGTAAACAAATATTTCCCTACATTCCAGATGCATTTGTGTATTTTATAGACGTGGCATGATTTACGGGCACGCACTAAGAATAAAGTTGCCAAACAACGAAATTACCAAAGGGGAACAGGTGGAGGGCCGGCTAAGGAAGAGACATTGGATGACATAGAAGAAAGTATTGTTGAAGTTATACAAATCGTGTCGGTTGACGGTCATGATGTTCCTGAATCGCAAGTTGCATTTAAATTTGGAGATACAGGAATTGGTGACGAAGAACAAGATGGATTAATTGAATATTCTATTAGATCGGACGATGAACATCCAGAAGAACAACCGCAACATATTTTTGACTATCAGGAAGAAGCAAGTTCAATTGTAAATTTAGCGCCCACAACCATCAGTCTTACTCCCCAGAGGCCACTTACACAAAAGTCAGCAGGAAAAGGTCCCGCCAGATAAGAGAAAGTGTCCGAAAAATTGGATGGGTTAATAAATTCAACGTCGGCGGCAGCAGCCTATAAGGAGAGCCTTGATAAAAAATTACAAATGAAATCAAAATACTACAATGAAAAACTAGCACTTTTGCGCGAACAGAATAATATTAAGAGGCTTCATGTTGAAGCGTTAAATACCATCGCACTTGATTTGAGCCGCATCAGTGAGGTGAATCAATAGCCAGTTTTGTTGAATATCATAATAATAAAGACTGTTCATTTCTATTAATTTATTTGCCACATTCAATATAAAACAAAGATTACTGACAAGTCAACGGCCTCTTCGTGCATTTAAGATATGAACGAGTCGATTACGAGCGTCCCGACCCTGTAGCAATTCGGGATTAATTCGGTTGTTGCGTCCTATGCCATCCGCTTCTGGTATGCCACCTTCTATCAAACCTAAATCGTTGTCAACTTCTTCATTTGGGAATGGTACGTTGTAGTAAGTGCACATATATTGTGCAGAACAACGCAAGCAGTTATTATTTTGCAGGCGAATTCAGGACTGTAATGCAGAATTGCAGAACACGGTGCTTAAGCAAGCATCGAAACCGTGCTTTCAGCACACCATTACATCTTTCCACAGTGGCTCGTGTACTTTTGTGTACAACATTATAATGTGCTTCAGGTGTGCCGTCAACCGCGTCTGTAAACGGTGTCAACAGCCAAGGGCGAAGGGGATAGCATCACCTGGAGTAAATAAATTACATCAAAACCAATAACACCAGTTCAAAAAATATTTATCAGACAGACCCAGTAAGAAGTAATCCCTTTCTCTTCTGCCGTGAATATTTCTTAACAGTGCCTGCACTACAGTTTGGTTCCAAATGTATGAATCATTTGTGCTTCCAGGAAACCTTGCATTCACATTCATAATGCGTAACTGGGCATCACAAATCTATATGAGATACACAAATCAAGAACATACTGCAAAGTGGGTGGGGTGCGAAGATGTTGAACCAAGGTTGATTATAAGGTGGAAATTAAAACAAATAGGTAGATGCACAGTCATAAAACGTGTGGTGGGATAATTACCAATTGTACATTGATGGAATGATAGGACTTGCGATTGACATATAAATGTTCCGGGTGTTCTTCATCATTGCTGGGAGGAGGAACAATTGCTACATGGGTGCAATCGATGCATTCTACAATGCCTGGAAATCCATATTGGTTAAAGAAACCCTGTCTTACTCTTTTCATCAAAATTCTCCGGGTAGTGGACCCATTCATTGTACACTATACACGGGTTCATTAAGGGATGCAACAACCTCCCTCAAACTAACAGACACACTAGCCTGTGAGACATCAATATACACATTTGCCCCTACGTTTGTCTGGTATGACCCATTTGCGAAAAAACTTAGGGCTGTTAAAACCTGCAAAGAAATTGCACATACTGCATTTATACCTACACTAGGTAGCAGAATTAAACAGCCTTGCCTTTAACTGAACATCCAAATCCGTGTTTCGATTTTGTGGGCGAATAAAGACTCTTAATCGATTTACCAAGTAGCGGAAAAGGTCTTTAGACAGCCGAAACATTTTGATAAATTGTGCTTCATTTAATACTTCTATGGGGTTGCAAGGATTACGGTTCTTATTCGGGCGATAATTGCGTTCGGCATTCTCTAAATTGTCTATTACAATAACACATTCACAGCTTCATCCATTGTTGTAAGTAGATACCTCTCAAGTCTCAAGAGTTAAAACTTCAACACTAACCAATACATAACCCACAAAACGTCAGTTCGAGCGTTTGCGAACGCCATTTACCCGCTCGCAGAAAAACGAACACAATTGAACGTATACGCAATATAAACGTATGGTCAAAAATTGCAAATATACGTTTCTTTACGAATACGTATACGTTTTAAGGAAACGTACAGCCAAAAATCGACCCCCAGACAGACAGACAGACCGATAGACCAACAGACCGATCAACATAATTGTTCGAAAGGTGTATTTCCGTTAAAAAAGTGGGGGTATTTTTTTACCCCAATGTAATACCTCCCATACTAACGTGCGAGTGGTAAAAAAGGATTGCCTATTTCGTATAGGTGTACGGTACAACCCGCAGAATTTTTCAAATTTCCTGTCTCTCTTGTTAAGTTATTGTTTAAATACAAAGGTTTGGTGTAGGTCATTCAATCCATGGTGTATCTGGACCTAAAATTAATAATTTGGATTTAAAATTACCATGTAAATGTACCAAAAAGATAGGTTGTGGTTGCATACACAGAGAGTATGAAGGAATGATCGACATTGAAGAAATATATGACTCTAGGTGAACTATTTATTCTATAAATTCTAACTATTAACCAAAGGAATTAGTAATACAAATGTATGAAGTATTAGCAATAAAGAAACTTCCAACTTAAATAGGAACGACACCCTGTTGACAAAACGTGTATTTTCCGGAGCTCTTCTGTACAGGATGTCCTTAAATATGCTGTACATACGGAAGGGACTAATTCTTTGGCTTATTTTATGACTAAAAGTTTATATAATCATAGGTCCGTCCG